ATTGCCCATTTTGCTAACCTACCAGACTGACTTGGCCCGTGAAGAATTGAGCGAAGCGGATGGGAAGTTAGTACTTCTATAGGATGGGATTGGAAATAAGGTCTGAGTTTTCTAGCAGATATGACCACTGCTAAAGCTAATTTCTCCATCATGGTATATCTCGTTTCTGGATTAGTAAGAGATTTACTTATGTAGAAAATTGGCTTTTGCTCACCTCGGTCCTCTCGAACTAAAACCCCACTTACGGAATGGTTAGAAACTGAAATGTAGAGATAAAGTTTCTCATCTAATTCAGGTTTTGAGAGAATCGGCGGTGTTGTCAGATAAGTTTTGAGTTGACCAAATGCTGCTTCGCATTGATCATCCCACCGAAATTTTTTGTTCCCTTTCAAAATTTGATAAAAGGGGAGACATCTATCGGTAGACTTTGATATGAAACGATTTAATGCAGCAATTCTGCCTGTCAATCGTTGGACCTCCTTTATGTTTCTTGGGGAAAGCGTTAATCTGATTAGGATTAGCTTCTATCCCTCTTTCTGTGACTATGTACCCCAGGAATTCTCCAGAAGGCACGGCAAAGGAACATTTAGCTGGATTTAATTTCATTCCGAACTTGTTTAAAATTTTGAAACATTGCTCGAGATGTGTGATGTGCTCGGATTTCTTAAGAGATTTCACGAGCATATCATCAATATATACTTCCATCGTTTTGCCCAAATGTTCTGAAAACATTTTGTTAACTAAACGTTGGTATGTTGCACTGACATTTTTTAGACCAAATGGCATAACTTTGTAACAATAGATTCCTCTATCTGTTATGAAAGATGTTTTCTCTTCATCTTCGGGATTCATCATGATCTGATTATATCCAGAGAATGCATCCATAAATGTTAAGAGTTCATTTCCAGTGGTTGACTCAACGAGCCGATCGATATGTGGGAGAGGAAAGCTATCTTTCGGGCAAGCTTTGTTAATGTCGGTGAAATCGACACATACTCTCCATTTTCCGTTTTTCTTTTTGACTACCACGGGGTTTGCTAACCAGTCCGGATATCTCACTTCTCTGATGGAACCAATTTTCAAAAGCTTATCAACTTCGTCATTGACCGCTTGAGCTCGGTCTGGACCAAGTTTTCTTCTTTTTTGCTTTATTGGTTTAAAACTAGGATCGACGTTTAAATCATGGGTAAATGATACTTTTGTCGATTCCAGGCATATCTTTCACCGACCAGGCAAAAGTATGTTTATTTTCTTTTAGAAATGTTACCAACTGATCTTTGATTTCTGAATCTAAAGTAGTACCGATTGTTACTTTTCGATCTGGAAATTCGGAATCAATTTCAATTTCTGTGGTAACTTCACTTGAACTGAGACCACTTGGGTAACGCGAAGTGATTTCTTGCTTAGCGTTTATCATTAATTGCTATTTAAGCTTTAAACGATGTCCCATGAGGTAGCAAGATCGCGACGTTTCCTAATCTCCACGAATGGTTCCGATTCCTGCAGGAGTTGGAAATTTCACACACTGGTGATAAGTTGAAGGTATAGCCCTCATTTGGTAAATCCACGGAGTTCCGAGAATTATGTTGTAAGCGGCCGGACGGTCGAAAACAATAAATTCTACAATTTCAGGAACCCCTGCAGCGAGTACTGGTAGTTTTATGTTCCCCAAGGACATAGATGTGTCACTCGTGAAAGCTACTAATGGTGCCGGTGGACCGATAATGTCAGCCTTACTGATTCCCATTCTTTGCAAAGTGCTTAGAAATATGAGATCTACCGAGCTTCCAGTATCAATTTTACTTCGAAGTTCGCAACATCTAAAGTTATCACAAGAGCATCGTCATAAGGTCCTGTTAATCCTTGAGTGTCCAAATTATCGAAAGAGATAGGAGGTGTTTGTTCATTTGACTGGAAACCCACAGCGGTTTGAATTGCTGCTGATTTCTTGTGTCTTTTGATTGATCTGATCGAATCTCGGCACAATTTGGATCCTCCCATTATAACATCGATCCTTTTCTTAGGAGTGTTCGGAGTTTTGGGCCCATTGGGCTTATATTTCTTTTCAGGAGGATTGGACGCTTCGGAATCTTTTTTTTCTTTATGATAAGATTCCACAAACTCTTCGATATTGAAGTTAGCGAGCTCTCTAGCCGCCCACAGTTCGGTGAGGTGCTTTTTGAGTACGCTGCAATCTTTGGTAGAATGCCCATTTACTCTATGAATATCGCAATAGGCACTCTCATCTCTAACCCAGGTATTAGAAGAATTGTATCTTCTTTTGTTCGGGGAGGGTTTTCCTACGGCATTAGTAGCAGGATTAACTCCGAACCGTTTTTGATCTTTTGGTTCGAATTTTTTAGTTGGATTTCCAACGACCAATTTTGCTGGCCGATGCTTTTTAGCGAGGCTAAGCTTTTCTTCTTCTTCCTCCATCCAATTAGTAGCTCTGAATAAAGCATCTTGGATAGTGCTCGGACGATTGACGATGATTTCTTCCTGAAATCGGGATTCATGCCAAAGTCCGTTCCTTAAAGCAGAAAGGGCAGCAGCGTGCGATACCCCAGGAATTTTGGCTATCACTTCTTTGAATTTAGCGATATATTTGCGAAGTGGTTCGTTCTGACCTTGGGTTAAATTCCATAGATCTGCATCAGAGGTTGCCTTTTCCATAAACATGGAATACTGTTTTAGGAATGCAGCGGACAATTCTTTAAAACTATCAATAGATTGAGGCTCCAACTGAGTGAACCATAATAAAGCCGATCCAGATAGATTCTCAGAGAATAGTTTGCAATATCCGGCATCTTCCTCGTCTGGTTCTAGATCAATTCTGCCAGCAGCGATCTGAAAAGCAGTGAGGTGATTTTTAGGATCACCTTTACCATCGTAAGTTGGTAGTTTGACCTTCCGAGAATCTTTGATCCGAAGGTTCGAGATTCTCGAAGTGAAGGGTGTTCGTCGAGTTTCTTCGATTACTCGATCGATCTCAGGTGCCGAACTGGTCGCCTGATGAAACTTAGAGTTCATCTCATCAAGCTCTTGACGAACTTTGACAAAATCATCGGAAAAGATGACATCAGGTTCTTCCATAAGGAGTCCTTTGTCAATAGCAGGATTGCCTTGATTTTGGGGATTTTCATCCCCGGTTGGATTGGACCCATCTCCTACAGTTGTCTGATTGCTAGTACTAGCAGGACGGCCCGTAGGAGGAGTTTGAGTGCTCCCGAATCTGTTTTATGTGGGAGTTTGGAATAGCCTGCGCTGATACGCTGTCGTTTGTACTGAGGACAAATTATCTAACCGGCTTGAAACAACGTTCTGCGTGTTTGACAAATTTGTTTGAGTATTTTGAACACTCGTTAAAGTTTGCTCGATTGAGTTTAACCTTTCACCAAAAGTGGCATTGGCACTAGCGAGTGTACCCATCTGATTGGTCAGATCGGTGGTTGACTGAGTAAGCGAGGCAATTGCATTGCTCAAAGCTTGCTGATCAGCATAGTTTCTTGGTTTGAAAAAGAGAGATTTTGAGATTAAAGAGTTTTGCGGTAAATCCCCACAGGCGGCGCCAAAATATGGATGTAGGATTCACACGCGATTGTCTTTAAGTATTTTTGTGGAGAAAAACTCTAAAATCAACAAATGAAAATAAGGATTTGAAAACAAAAGTAACCAAGAAACTAAATAAAGCGAAAGAACTTGGCAAGAATAAAATAGTAAAAAGCCTTGCAAAATTGTAAAAGAAAGAGTATGCTGTATTATTTGATCGTAAGAGGGAAAAAATTGTTCTCTTCTCAAACACATGCGTTTGAGGTTGTTTTTATAGAGAAAACATTATCAATGCGGTCATTTACTGCTCATAATTGCATTGATCCGCATTAATCATATAGGTTACAATTTGACCGAAACGGCTTGAATTTGAACTATCTTGGGCTTCGCGTGGATCTTCCGAACTCTTTCTTGTTGACTCCGAACTCTTGCGTCTTGACGCTGCCGCGAACCTCAAATAATATTCTCCTCGCTTCGGCCTTCTTTTATGCAAACAGTATGTTGAATAAGAGCGAACTCTGTACTGGGAAAGATCGAGCTCTTTAATAAACTGAATCGAACTCCCGACAGGTCGAGCTCAATCCCGGCAACAAAACATCTAGAAATCCAAGAGGATTATTATGTAATAATGACGTGGACAGATCCAAGTGGATCCTACCGAAGATGTGTGGGATCCGACCCCAACACCCACCAGCTCCGTATTTTTGTTGCATCCCATCCAAATGCCTTGACTCGGAGCTCCTTTGAGATATTTGAGGATGCGGTTCACCATGTTCCAATGATGTAGCGTGGGAGCTTGCATGTGTTGACTCACTACATTCACGGCAAAACAAATGTCAGGCCTAGTAATGGTTAAATAAATGAGCTTACCTACAAGTCTTCGATATTGTGTGATATCTTCGAAAGGCTTGTTGTCAAGCTCCCCCTTACGATTGGCCTTGTAGTCTTCTTCCAAGGGAGTTTTAGCTGGTTTTGCTCCAAGTTTACCTACTTGACTAAGAAGATCAAGGGTGTACTTCCTTTGAGATAAGAAGAGACCTTCCTTTGATCTACAAACTTCTATCCCAAGGAAGTACTTTAGTTCAACAAGGTCTTTTATATCAAACATACTCTTAAGAAAGGTTTTAGTCTCTTGAATCCCCACCTTGTCATTCCCGGAGATGATAATATCATCTACATACACGAGAATGACTACTATACCTTCCTTGCTTGGTAGAGTGAAGAGAGTGTTGTCGGCCTCCGATTTCTTGAATCCTCTATCCAACAAGGTTATGCTAAGCTTGTGGTACCAAGCTCTCGGGGATTGCTTCAAACCATAAATGGCCTTCTTGAGTTTAAAGACCTTCCCGGGAGCATTATGATCTTCAAGTTTTGTAAGGGATGACGAAGTCTCTATAAATAAGTCAATTGAACAGAAAACAACCACTACTATAGTTTCGTAGTTGACAAAATTTTATTAAATGCAAACCTTGAAAACTAAAAAAATTTATCTATCAATGAATTTCCAAATTCGTTGCATCTTTCCACATGTCTTCAACCATAGATTTTCTCCACATATTTGTGTTTTCTCTGTCCTGCTCTTGTGTCTCAAGAGGTTCTTCTCTATCAATTTCATTGTTATTCACTGCATTACCTTCATTGTTATCTGCATTGCCTTCATTTTCCACAGGAAAGTCGCCTTCATCTGATCGACATTCTCTGCGAAGAAAGTTATGCAACGCTGCACATGCTAGGACTAATCCAGCTTGTTTCGTGTAAGAAAAAGGAGGTGCTGATTTAAAAATAGTAAATCGAAATTTAAAGATTCCAAGTATCTCTTCGATCACGTTTCTCAAAGAAGCATGGCGAAGATTGAATAAATCATTTGGAGTTTCAGGATCACGTCCTTGACCAGCAAATTCCTGTAGATGATACTTAACACCACGGAATGGAGCTAAAAAAATTGAGACGATCTGCAAATCCACAATCAACTAGATATAATTTTCCTGAAAAGTTGGATTATATATGTTACTATAAGATATATGATCTATAAAAAAATTGTAACTGTTTTACTTCTGGTACATGGAAATTGTTTGTTCTTCTAGTTAATGAATCACTTAACACTCTTGAATCAAGAGCTGAACCCTCCCATCCACTCAGAACATAGATAAACTCCGGATCAAAGTTACATACAGCTAAAACATTTTGAGATATTGTTCCTTTTCGATTACGATAACTTGCCACGTCACGTCCAACTATAGTTGCTGGTATATGTGTGCCATCTATCACTCCAACACAATTTTGTAATAAATACAAATATATAATTAGTAAAATTTTGAAGAAAGAACAAAAAAGGTCAAATTGAACAAGGGATGAAGTAATACACCTTAAAATATGGATAAAATCGTGTGCTTTCTCTTATCTTCATTGGCAATAAGCCATCAGGTTTCACCATCTGACTTGGAGCTATTATAAGTTTATAACCAAAGCTCTTAAAATCTTATTAAAGCTTGTGCTCACTGCAAACTTGGACCTTTTAAATGTGTCTTTATTGTAGCAATATCTTGCATTTTGTCCAAAGATGAGCAAGAAGATAGCAAGCATATCTTCGACAGATATGTGGTGACAGGTGTGTGTTTTTCAAACCAGTTTTGTCTCTGATCACACCCGGAAATGTTGGGGATCTTCACTTAATACATTTCGTATATATTGTTCCCCAAGTTTTGTGACTGATCACCGAATCGGACGATCAATGTAATCATCACCCATGAGACGTCGTCGTGTGTTATGAATCTGAGCTCCTACCATCATCATTACCACCATTAGAAATATGGTCGCATCAAAATCATCATCATCTATTTGGTCGATATCGATATTTGTGTCTTCTACCTCTTTATATATATTATCATCCATCAGGAACTGAACGATCAAAACGAACAACAATAATTAATCTTTGAAAAATTGAAAAAAGCTCTACCTTGAAGAATGCAGAAATTATATTAAAGTAATTGAGAGAAACTTACGAAGGAGTGATAATGGTTTTTCTTTAAAAAGTGGTCGTTGTTATCTTTCTTTGAGAAGTGAAATATTTCAAGGTATTATATAGGAGAAGTAAGTTTAACAAATACTATCCTTTAGGGATTCTATGATATATTATCGATAGAGTTTTTTTTTTTTTTTTGACGTCTAGATTTATTATTTATTGCAAATTATGAGAACTGTTACATAGACGATTCTACAACGGACAATTCCTTCTGACCCTTATTAGATCCACGACAGATGACACTTTCTTCTTCATGCTCTTGACGGATACCTTCAATGATCCATGACCTGACGACACTTCTCTCGGCGTAGAATCCTGGCGAACGGCTATAATTGTACTTCGCTGGAGATCTCCTGCACATTTGTCTCCTTTAATCTGCAAATTTATTAATAAATCGCAATATCTGGGACTCGACCCCCAGACCTCTTGGTGTAGAAGCATTAATTAACCCTTGGTCAACCAATGGGCCAAGGGGGCTTCCACTATCGATAGAGTTTATGATAAACAATAATTTAAAATTTAAATTGTTTCAGAAATCTATTTTAAAAAATCATCTATAAGAATAATATGCGGTAACAAAACTTGTAATCTTTTAAATTATACAACGAATCATATTTTATTATCTTACCACAATAACTAGATTTTAACCCACGGTACACAGCAGGATTATTTAATTTTAAAGTTAGTATAAAAATATTTTGTAAATTGTATCTTCTTATAACATATTTATTTATATTATAGTTTACAATTGTTATTAAGTAACGGTATACCACGAGTCCACGAGACAATTAATAATAAACTGAGGATTTAACCCGTATTAAAGCGCTATATAAATATTGATTCAAATTCGTCCGCCATATAAATCCTTTCCGAAATATAACCCGTTCCGTAATTTCTTACCCGTACCGTGATTTGTTTCTATTTTAAAATTTAATAATTATTTATTATATTAAAAGTTTACAAATCATATCATTCTCTAAGACATTTATATTTTAATAAACTAAAGATTTAATATGTATTAAAGCGGCATGTTAATGATATTTTAAAATTTTATAAATATTGTTATTAAGTAACATTATACCACGGGACAAGTTTTGGTTTTATACATTCTTTTCTAAATGAGACTGATTTAATATCTCTAATATTGGTGGTATTGAAAAAAAGGATTTAATCCGTATTAAAGCGGCGGATTAATGATATTTTAATCTTTTTATTATTGCTGATTCAAAAACCCGTCCCGCCAAACCCGTCTAGCCAAAAAACTCATTTATTTTATTAATGTTGATCTTATTTATTATATGATTCTGAATTATTGTCTAAATATTTTAATCGATGTAGATAGTTGAACACACATTTTCGTCAATTGATAATATATGTCCGTTTTTAAAATTTTGAATCACAATATATGCAGAAAAAAAATTGATTTTTTTTACTTTATGTATTATATGATGATTCAAAACAGTTAAAAACAAATCAAACAAAGATGATAGGAGAATCATAAATCTAAATCTTAATCAAATCTTGTAAATATCTAAATTATTAAATACGAAATATCCGGTGTATGAGTTGGGTTAAATATAACCCGACCCAACAAATTTTTTGTAAAGGATTTTTTGAAACGGGTCGGATATCCCAAATAACCCGAGAACATTTTTACCCATCTGTCACCAAAGTGTTGCAAAAATACTAGTATAGATTTTTAAAACGTCATTTTGAAAAGGTAAGTAATACTTAAAACAAATTTATTAATGAATTTTTAATATTTGAGTGGTGTCGTCATTTCTTACGAGTATATAAGATAATAAAAATAATTAAAATTAAAGCATTTGACCAATATATAGAAGAACAAGAGACATATAATAAACTCAGCTAGACAGGGCTGTGCAAAATATCCGTTAGATTCGCTTCGATCCGTTATTTGATTCGATTCGATTTGAAAAATCCAGATATACGTAACTTTTCGAAGCAAATCAAATATTAAAAATAGATATTCGTAAAAATCGGAGCAAATATCAAATACTATAATTCAAATTAGCGGATATCCGATTCGATCCGGAATACATACATATATATAGATTATTATATATATAAATTATAATTTTATTATTCTTGTAAGCGTTTTATAATTTTTAATCTCTGAATTAATTATTTGAACTACTAGTTTGAACAATTAAAGGAGAAATATATATATTTTTGATAAAATATTACTATTTTTAATAAAATTTTACTATTTTTAATAAAATTTTACAATTTTTGTATTAGATTTTTTTATTAAATTTTTTTTTGTTTAATTTTAAACAAATACTTAACGGATCGAATATCCGGCAAATAGTTTGGATTTTAACGGATATTCGAACAGCCGGATATCCGGTCACTAACGAAGCAAATACGAATCGGAAAACTTAGTATTCGGAAAAAACAAATCAAATAACAAATACCACTAAAAGCCCGGATATCCGCTCCGTGCCCACCCCTACTAGACACCACTCATAGCCATTTGACCAAAGCAAAAACACGTATAGTAAGGATCTAAAGAAAGACAACTGAAACACTTTAGGAATACTTTAATGAAATAATAGTTATTAATAAAATGTATTATTTTAAATTCAAATAACAATTATTATTGTGAAATTAAAAAACAAAACTGATAGATTAAATTAAAACAAACTACTACTGGAGCACTTATTTTAAACAATTGTCTTATTAGATGCATTGGAAATAACAAGCTAACTGTTACAGCGAATCCAACCCAAGCGTTCTTCCACAGACATGCTCACAAATACATCTTTCATTTTCAACGTGTAGATCTTGTTCACTGCATTATATATTTTTTTTGAATGTAATATTAAATTATATTTAAAAGAGAAATAACGTTTTTACAACCAAATGCATCGTAATTTTGAAGAGTTTGAAAAATATTTAAAAGAGATTAGCCGAAGGAAACTTAGAGAAACACTTGATCTTAACCCCGAGCAATGAGCCATTGTTGGTACGCCTCATCGTACCGCCTGTCGCCCACTCTCCTTATCATCGAAATCTGATTTCTTATTTGCTTGTCTATCCATGCTGTGATGAGAGCTTCCGAGTGTGGTTGTTCCCCATGCCTGCGACCATTTCTCTCTTTCCAAATCATGTAGACAGAAACTTGAAAGACATACCTAGAGAGGAAACTCTCCACACGATTTTGATGGTTTTTTGGACATGTGGACGATGAGCTGAGCCCAATCTGTTGAGTAGTTAGCTTTGAGTATGCCTTTCGCAAGCGAAGCCCAAATCTCTGAAACGTAGCCGCAAAAGAAGAATAGGTGGTCTCTGGTCTCTATGCATGACTTACAGAACACATAGAGACCCGGGGTTCCTCCTTTCCATCTAAGCATGCGATCACCCGTAGAAAGCCGATCCTGAGCCTCTAACCATACACAAAAAGAATATATACTTAGGAGTAGCATGTGCAAACCAAACACCTTTGTGCCAGGTAATTGTGGTAGAGGTTGTTCTTATATGATTCCATGTGTCCTTTGTCGAAAACTTTGGACTGAAAACATCATTCTTTGATTTCCATAGCCCAATGTCATCTTTATCGGATCGTTGCTGCCACTTATCAAACAGAGCAGCCTCTGTCTCGTTTAGAAAAGGTGAGCGATGTCTTCTTCTTTGATGGTTAGACCAAGCTTGTGCCACTGTGCTTGTTCTATTAATCCCCAAGTCGATAATTCCCCTAGCACCCGCAGTGTCGTATAAGCAACCCAAGCTTGACCAGTGATCAAACCAGAACGATGTATTCTCTCCATTTCCCACTTCAACTTTGCAAAAGTTCTTTGCCACGTCCCTGTACTTGATTATTTTTTTCCATATCCAAGACCCCATACTCGTAGAGCTTTTTAGTGACCAGAAAGACGATTTTTTCAGGAGATTTTCTTTCACCCAAGAGACCCATAAAGAGTTTCCATGTGAAACTATTCTCCATACCAACTTCAAACAGCAAACATTATTCGCTTCCTTAAGTGATCTCAGACCAAGTCCTCCTTCATGCTTCGACGTACAAACTTTTTCCCAGGAGATTTTTGCTTTGTGTGTATTCAGTTCAGCTCCTGACCATAAAAATGCAGAGCAAAGTTTCTCAACTCTGTCAATACACTCTCGTGGTAAACGAAATGCTGCCAACCAAAAATTACAGATACTCCACAAGACAGAAGATATCAAATTCAAACGACCCGCGAAAGAGAAATATCGTACTGTCCAAGATTCAATACGCTTCTTGATCGGTTCTATTAGAGGAGCATAATCTGTTGTTGTAAATCTCTTTGTGACTAGGGGAGCATTATAGTGGATATGATCTTCCAGATCCGAGATCTCCTTGATGGCATCCCAACCATTATTCTTTTTTTTTCTGAGTTTCCCTAAACTCAACATCTCTTTGATATCTTTCTTCTCTTTGTTGAATAAGATTTATGATGTTAGTGCCAACTCCAATCATTTCAGTTAGCACATTCTCTGAAGACTCACCATGATTAATTGAATCTGATGGATCTCCATTACTATTTGGTTTAGATCTTTTCCTAGTAGGCAACTTTTCTTTGGGAAAAGTTTCATTTACCTCGTTGTCATTAATCTCCATATAGTTCACATCATCTCTTGCTTGAAGATCATCATCTTCTTCAAAAGTTTCAGCATTTGAATTAATCACCACCAAGTCCAAACGTGGTGTTTCCCTTTGTTATAGCACTTTCGAAAATCAGTTGCAAATCCTCAAAATCTTCGAAAGTGCTGGTCCTCATGTGATGATGATTTGGATGCCCCTGAGAAAATATTTTACATTTATTAATTATCAATATAACTAAAAATATTTATTAAATTTTGTGAAAGTTTCAAAAGAGAGTTACCATCAAATAGGCAGCCCACACATCATCTGGAGCTGTAATTGTTTTGTGATGGGAGCCCATCCAAAACCAGAACTAAACCGAAAAAGTTGAGAACACACAGAATACTCCTTTTTCATAGACTTCATTCGACTTAAGTAATTTATAGTGTAATTCTTTTAACTAGATTATGTACCCGCGCGTTGGGCGGAATTTTAGTTTAAATTTTTTATCATTGCGAATCTTTGAATTATTTGAATTTAAAAATATTTTACTTTACTCATTTTAATTATCTTTTCATAGTTGGTAAATATTTTTTCACACTTTTTACTACAAATTTTCTTGTTATCTTCTATGATTCACTCGTCGTCTCCCAACATTTACTCTCTTTTCACCTTATATTGACTCACATATAATATACTCAACTATGAATTAGTTCTCAAGATAGATCGTATATATTGTTTTATTCATATCTTTCAATACTCATATTTTTTTATAAGTTGCATGATCTTTTTATTAAAGTGAACATTAGAAAATCACGGGAGATATTTGTCATATAGTTTCTTTGATCATGTTTGGTGCATGTAAAATTGCTTTATAAACTATAAATCTCATACATGGACTCATTCATATTCACAAACATCAGATTTCAACATCAAATTTTGTATTTTATCTTGACCGTTTGAAAAAAAAAAAAAAAAAAAAACAAATTCACATATATAATTTGACGTATATTATGATTCTATATAATATTCTTAATATTGATTTTCATAATGTAACTTACGAACTCATATAAATCATTCTAATTTTAAAATATATTTTTAATCCTTAATTTTTACTTCTAATTAAAAACTCTTCAATATACCATTACTATTCTAATTTCCAAATAGCATTCGCAAATATTTCATTACACAGTTTCTTATTCGATTGGATTATTTTATTTTTATTTGTGATATTTAGGATAGTTTTTTTTTTATATTTCAATTCACCTTAAATTTTTTTATCTATGTTAAAATTTCATAAACACTGATTAATATTTAGTTTTTCGTTTGTTACTTATTCATTTGATTTAAAAAAAACACCACTTTTTAATTTAGAAAACATTGATAGTATAGAAAATTTTATTAATGTTACTATTTATATTATATTATAATTATAAATAAGAATATGTACTCAATCCTTCTTATTTTTAATCAGTATCATGAATTGATACTTTAACATTAAAGAAAAAATTATATTTTTTAAAATTTTAATGTGTAGTTTTCAGAAATGAATTACTTTTTATTTTTAGTAAAAACCTTTAAATTTAATATATTTTAAATTCTTATTTTTCTTTATTCTACTAAATAATTGTAACTTTTATAAATGATTGTTTTATCATTAAAATATATGTTAAGTTTCTTTTTCATATCTATATATACATTTTTGGAGTACATTTAATAAAGTAGAAATTATCTGAAATAGACCATTTTTCACTATTAATTAAAATACTGGTACCCGATAAAGGAAAATTGTAGAAATGGTATAATATTTTCTAAATACCAAAACTACTCTAAATTTAGTCCATGTGATCCTTTTTTTTTTTTTTTTCATCAGTCCATGTGATCCCATCGATTATTATTGTGGGCTTTAGTCCATGTGATCCTTTTTTTTTTTTCTCATCAGTCCATGTGATCCCATCGATTATTATTGTGGGCTTTTTTGGGTAACCATTGTTTCCTTCCTTTGTATGTAGCATGAGACAAAGAGATTGAAATTGGTAGGAAGCTGCAACAATGGCAGCATCGAAGCCGTCACCAACCGATACCTGGGATTCTACTCTCCCTGGTCCTCCCAGCCGTAACAACTTCGGATCCGCCGATCTCAGTCCCTCCGGTCTCTTCGCCTTCGCCTCTGGCTCCTCCGTCTCTGTCGTCGATTCTCGTTCTCTCCAGCTCGTTTCCACTATCCCTCTCCCTCCTCCTCCGGGTGCTCTCTCTCCCTTTGTTACTTCCGTCCGTTGGATTCCTCTCCCTCTTCCCCGCGATCTACTCTCCACCGAACCCTCCGCCTCTCACCTTCTCCTCGCCGTTGCAGATCGCCACGGCCGTGTCGCTCTCGTTGACTTCCATCTTCGCTCCGTCGTCCTCTGGCTTAATCCTTCCTCCGATCCCAACCTTGGGATTCAAGACCTTTGCTGGGTTCAAGCTCGCCAGGATTCTCATGTCCTCGCCGCCATTTCTGGATCTTCCTTTCTCTCGCTCTACACGAGCTCCGGTGGACTTTTCTGGAAGTACGATGCCGGTATGGAGATTCTCTCCTGTCTCCGCCGCGATCCCTATGATTCTCGCCATTTCTGTGTGCTTGGCCTCAAAGGATTCCTATTGTCAGTTAAGGTACTTGGAGATACTGAGAACGACGTTGTGATTCAGGAGATGCTGATAAAGACAGATTTCAGTGAGCTACTGAGGTTGGAAAGAGAGGCGGCTAGTAATGGCAATTCATCATCTTCTTCGTCTTCTTCGCCTGCTTCAGCCGCATTTCCGTTGTACTTCGCTAGATTTGCCTTCTCGCCACATTGGAAGAATATACTCTTTGTGACGTTTCCTAGGGAGCTATTGGTGTTTGACCTGCAATATGAGACACCCCTCTCCACTACGCCATTACCTCGTGGTTGCGCCAAGTTTCTTGATGTCTTGCCTGATCCAAACAAGGAGTTGCTTTATTGTGCTCATGTCGATGGTAGGCTCAGCATTTGGCGTCGGAAAGAGTAAGATATCTATGTCCCTTAAGGGTTATTGATGGTTCAGAGTTTTGTGTTCCCTGTCACCTTCATTTATAGATTAGCTATTCCTTGAATCAGATTGAGTTTCTAGTTAACCAGGAGATTCCTGAAGCAAATCACCCTTTACATGTTACAAGTATCATCTTGTAAAGAATCTACACTGATTTTCAGGAAATCTGGGAAAATATGGGAAGAATCTTTTAGGTATCAGATTTTAGGGTAATGATGCAATGCTAATAGCCGTGTGCTTCGTTTAATATAGTGTCTGAGATTCATGGTATAAAAGCGTCATATGAATATGACTTTGTATCTTGTTATGTTGAATAGACTTGGATACCCCTGTTCTGGTTGCATATCTAAACTACAGCTGGTTACATATCATTGCAGAGGAGAACAGTTGCATGTCATGTGTACCATGGAAGAGTTTATGCCATCTATTGGAATGTCCATCCCGTCTCCTTCCGCTCTGGCTGTTCTCCTCAGTCATTCAGACTCCACAATGCAAACCATTACAAAACTTCACTCGGATGGAACCTCTTCTATAGATTTTGATAACCCATTTGACTTTTATGACGAAAGTCTTCTTGTTTCGAAGACAACTTTTATCTCCCTATCTGATGACGGTAAAATATGGAAGTGGGTCTTAAGTGCTGAAGGTGTTGAAGATGCTCTGAAAAATGCATCAGACTTGGACATGGGTACTGGAGGCACTGAAGCAGCACTTCCTGGAGCTATTCAGGAAAATAATTCCTCAAGTCTGGATGATGAATTAGTTGTTGCACCTACAAATCGAAGCAGAGGTCACACATCAAGTTCCTCCATGGAAAAATCAGATCTATCATTTAAGGTTGGTGGCTGGAAGATTTTTGGGTTAACTAGTTCCTTATTCACTATATGACTATTCCGCCAGAGGGTAGAAGTTTGGTGTTACCTGTTTCCTCATCATAAGGGTTGTGTTTTCCACAGTATGTGTTTATTGGTCTTTTCATTATGTTCATACTTAACAGGGCTTATACTTGTTTACGTCGCTCAATGCAGATCAGCCTGAGTGGACAGCTTCAGCTTCTCTCTTCCACAGTCTCTACACTTGCTGTACCATCTCCGTCTCTTACAGCAACCCTAGCAAGTTCGTTTTGTTCTCCCTTGTATATGTAATACTAAAAGTGTTCATAAGAAAACTCAAATGATTGATTTACGGATTGATTTTAAATGAAGGAGGGGGTAACATTCCTGCGGCAGCTGTTCCGTTAGTTGCTTTGGGAACTCAGAGTGGGACAATCGATGTTGTTGATGTATCAACGAATGCTGTTGCTGCAAGCACTTCGGTTCATACTGGTGTTGTTAGGGGCCTTCGGTGGCTTGGAAATTCAAGATTAGTTTCATTTTCTTACAGTCAGGTGTGCAAATATATTTTAATAATGGAACATGTTACGTCTCATTGCTTTCTTCTATTTTTTCGTAGTGATTTTCAATCTATATTTGGTTTAAGAAGAGTATTAGGTTTAGTTTAATTTCCAGTTGCTTATTATAAAAAATAATAAGAATTGGGAAAGTGACATTCGGCATCATGCATCGGTTTGTGGTTTCAGGTGAATGACAAAAGCAGAGGCTACATAAATAAGCTTGTTGTTACCTGCCTTAGGAGTGGGTTGAATAAACCATTTCGTGATTTACAAAAGCCAGAGCGCACTCCCATAAGAGCTCTTAGAACTTCTTCTTCCGGAAGGTTTGATTTTATGTTTTTTATCCTGCTTGAGTATTTGATGCCTATAAATAATGTAACTAAATGCTTGTGCTCTTCAAGCTATCATCTTTTCACTAATAATTTAAGCTTAAGAACATCGTCTTTCGGTATTGAAATTATGTTCCTTTCTAAGATGACAAATGTCAATTCAGATCATAGAAGATACTTGTTCACTATTTCAAAGATGAGGAACTATTGTAAAATTGGAAGTTATTACTTTGGACCCGAGCTTCTAGACACCTCTTCTGATGCTGAGAATTCGTTTTTCCTGTCCTGTTGCAGGTATCTTTTAATTCTTTTCCGTGATGCTCCTGTAGAAGTTTGGGCAATGACCAAGCATCCAGTCATGGTAAGTGATCTCAAACCCCAAAGTATCTTTACTTTTTCTACTTGAATTAGTCTCGGTGAGTGGATGACAATAACTTTTTCTGTCTCTTATGTTTACAAGCTTATAATTTGCACTTTTACATTCTGTAATTTTATCCATATGACTTTTTTTCTTTAGATGTCCCATTCTATATGTCATACTTTCTCATCCCTGTGATACTTTCTTCGTATGGCCATTTACTTTCACGTAATATTGCCTTGCCCACCTTACACTTTTTGCATGTGAAAATTGAGTAAGAAGGGAAAATTTGGCACCAAATAATGACTGGGTCATGTTAGTTCTTGAACATCATAATGCCTAATAAGATCGATTATGCATGAAATTGATAAAGCTTGTCCCTTTAAAATTTTGAGGAGACTTAAAACAACATCCTCTATGTGGCTTCTTT